TCTTCATCTAAAATTCCAAATTGGTATCATGATTTTAAGTTATTCCATTGACTGGTTTACACTGGGCAATTAATGAATTAAAATAAGAATTATCTCCTTTTTACATTTTTAGTAATTTTTATTGTGATAAAACATACCATAAAATTGACCACTTTAACCATTTTTAAATGTAGAGTTCAGCAAAATTTTTTGGACTGGGGCAGCTTCAAAACGGGCACCCCAGCCCAGACTTCTTACTATGCTGCTCCTAAGTCCGTGAAAGATTGCCCCAGTCCAAAAAACTGTGCTATATTCTTAAGTATTTACATTAACCAGATTACTGCTTTTAAAGTAGAAGGAAAATGCAATACAATAGACTTATGCTAAAACAAACCAGTTACAGAACTTACTAAAAAATATATTAATGTCTAATGTACCACAAGTAGTGTGGTCTAGTAACGGAACACATGTTTAAAGCAATATAATTGACTTCTTTCCATCTTGTCAGTATATCTAAGGAAGAACAAATGAAACGTCATTTGGTAATTATGTCAAACATCTACATTTGAAACTTTTCATGAACATGAGACTTGGTCAAATGACCCTTGTGAACCCACTGTGCTAGGCCAAAAGATTTATCCCTAATTTACAGATCGAGAAACTGAGCCTCAGAAAAGTTATCACTTGTTCAAGGTCAACACAGCGAGAAGTAAAGCTTGTATTCATGTCGAGGTCTTCCAACAGCAAGCTCTGACTCTTTCCAATATATCAGGCTGTAAAATGACACTCCTAAATATAACAGGTCCACTTTTTCCATTTTTATTATCTACTTTGCTATTCAAAGAAATTTCAGTATAGAAATTTCTATACTGAAATTTCTTCCTTCAAGACTTATAACAAAGGGTGGGTGTTTGTTGTTGGGTTTTTGTTTGTTTTTTGAGCCCATCTCATGAATTTTCTAGACTAGCTTCTTAACAATAAAAACACCTTTCCACACAGAGTTGCCCTGCATGCCACCTGGTAGCTGAGACCTCACTTTAGGAAAAACACTTAATTTAATGGGGTGCTGGGAAGCAAGCTTGTGATGCATCCAGCATTGTAATATAGTTTCTGACCAGATGCTATTCACTTGCTCCTAAACTTATCCCTTTGTTATTGTGAGACTGCTTTTTTTTCGATTACTATAGCAATAACTAAAGAGGTGAAGGTCATAGTTTGATCCATGTAGGGGTCAGTTTCCTTTATTGAAATTCTAAAATGTTATTGCTGAGATTGGCCCCATTCCACGGGCAGCCCCATTTCAATTACAGAGTGGAACTGTGTGGATGGATCAGTGCAAATCCATTACCAGGTTGCTAAGCAGCAAGTAGTCAAATCTCCACTCCTTCCACCAAAAGCCACTGTGAAATTTCTAAAATATATTTGAGTACATGCTAACTGTCCAACACAATGTAGGGCATAATGCATGGTTAAAAAGTAAGCTTTAGTCCTAATTCATTGTTAATCAGCTATAACTAATGAGTCCCTACTATATTCCCCGCACTGTGCTGGGTGCCATGGATACAATAATAAAGGCAGATGTTGTGTGTGGAGCTCACCAACTAGAAACTACAGTAAGTCTGTTCCTACAGTAATAAGTCAGTCTCATCTGATGAGTAGTTATTATGTATAAGGGATTGTAGTGGGTACAGGATAAAATATCATTCCTGTTCTTAGAATCCCACACATAAAATTTAAAAAAAAGGTAAACTCTCAAAAAATTAATATGTATACAAATATATATATATATACACAAATATTTTACCTATAAAATATTTAAAATAATTGACATTCTCTGCAGAGAATGGAGAAATGGCCAATGTTAGCTCCTGTCATTATTAAGCACACCTCTCCATGGTATCCTTTATGTGTTCCTTGTGGAAAGGTAGGATTGACCTCCACAGCATTTCTGGGTGACAGGGGTCTAAGAGGCAGCTTTTATTTTCACATGGGCATATACTGAGCAGGGTGTACTCTTTAGGGGAGTTGAACATAAGTACGTTGCATAATGTAATTTTTAAAAGGTATCAGTTGTAAGCTCACTGGGAGAACTGAAGTCACAAGAAATTGGGTCACTAAATTTTTCCCTCAAATGAGTTTTAAACTTTCCCACAATAAAATTTTTGTTTGAAAAAGATAACACACCCTTTGAACATAAGGTGAGCACAGAACAGAAGCTGGCATCCTCACTGCTGTGAGGTTAGCATGAGCATGATATGGGTGAGCTCAGTGATTCTTTATCATCTGTGATACCAATTTTATAGAGAGGCCAATTATATATATATATATATATTTTATTATACTAGATATAATAAATCGATATATATTTATTATACTAGATATATTTATATATTTATTATACTAGATATATTTTTATATATATCTAGTATTTTTCTAGAACTTGAAAAGTACTAGAACTCTGTCATTAGAGGACAAAACCCTTTGAATTCTGTTTCTACTTCTATAGACAAACTCGAAATGATTCCTCCAGCGTCCCTCAGCCAGACAGCCCTGTGAACAAGACCTTGTGTTTGTAAGATGGGTTTTTGCTTTCACAAAGCTGACAGGCCCAGATGGGGATTCAATGTGGATAATATCCTGGCCTCACTAGTACCACACTTGTAACTAACTGAGCTAACTAGTCTGACATGAAGGAAGAATGAAATCCCAAAGTAGTCCCTGAGTTATTTTCTTTGGCTCCACAATAGAACTGTCTTCAAGAAATATTTTTATTATTTAGATCCTTTTTTAGCCTCAGTGACTTTTCCTCTGGGATATTTTTCTTTCAATTACAATGGCTCCTTGGGTAAAGGCTTGGGACTTAAGAATAACCTCTCCATTTCACCGTGATGATGAAATAGGTACAAAACTACAAATGTCATAGAAAAATGAAGAAATCAGGGCAGTCTGAAAATGTAAAGGGAGAGCAGAAAACAGTGAAATTACAGCTTCCCTTTGTGACTGCATCTTCTTTGCAATGTGGAAAATATCCACTTCTCTACATAAGACAAATCGATATCTGCAAGACACTATTTTTTCACATACTGTCTCTACTTAAGAGGTTGTTTTAATGCCCTTAAGATGGTAGAATTTCAGCATGAAATGAAGGCTATGAATAGCGAGCATGCAACTTGCAATATGCTGAGAAGAACCAGAGAAATGTGTTAGCATTTGACATTACTGTCTAAAATTTGGCTTCTGTCTTAAGTATAAGGAATATACTTAACCTGTAGCTATTCCAATTTAGTGAAATGTATCATAAAATTCTCCCTCAGCAATAGGGCTTTCAAACACCCTACTGAATTTTAAATGAAGTCAAGATTGAATTTTCAGATATGTATCTCATCATTTGACATTTTCATTTAGGAATTAGAACACCAAGGGTTGGCTTAAAATGAAATCAATCTAATATTTTTATTGACACTTCATTCTTTAAATTTTAGCCATTTTGTACTTTAAATGATCACATTTTATTAAGGGTTGGCAGTTACATGTTCAATGCAAATAATGAAAACCCTAGGACATAGAAATGGAGTCATTTAAGGGAAATGTAAATTAGTAATTAATGGTTCTCTGCTTTAAACTACTTCCCCTACATGTTTTGTGTGTGTGTGTGTGTGGGGTGGCTGATAAAAAATATATTTTTAAGTAATTTAATAAAATAATAACTAGCAATTACTGAGCACCTCTCTTTGTCTGGTGCAATTGTGCTAAGCATGTTGCAGGCATATCTCATTTAAATAGCACAACACTCGGAACTTGAAAACTACTATACAGTGAGAAGAACACTTTGTTGAGCTACTAAATTTAAATTGCATCATGAGACAGAAACATCCACAGCTCCCAAATACTGTAAAAAAAATATTTTATTTGATTTGACACTTCCTAGTGTGAAGAATAGGGAAAGCAATTGCCATCCAAAACTGCTTTGTATGTCATTCATGCATTCATCATTCATTCACTCCACAAATATGCATGGATTCCCTATTATGTGCAGGACACTGTGGTGGGTGCTGGTACTGAGTAAGGAATAAAACACAGCTGCGGAGTTCTCCTAGGAGGAGACAGCACGTGTGAAGTTGCTGAGGGACACAGACGCTGGGTACATTTGGGGAGACTCTGCTGTGGCTGGGGCACACGGAAATGCACAGATTGGGGTGGAGAGAGGACCAGGACACAGTTGCGAGTGTTTGTTCTAAGTGTGAAGGAAAGCAGGTAAAGGCATTAGGATGGAATGTGAACTGATAAGACTCATGTGTTGTAAAGACCTCTCTGACTGCTCTGTGGAGAAAAGCTTTAATGGGAGTGAGGGAGGGTCTTACCTTCAGTGGGGAAGACCAATAAGGAGGCTTTGGAGGAGTTGAAGTATGAGATGAGAGAAATGTGGGCTGGATCAGTGGTTCTCAACTGGAGGAGATTGTGCTCCTCAGGGGACATTTGGCAATGTCTGGAGATATTTTTGGTTGTCACAAATGAGGGGGGTCCCACTGGCATCCACTGGGTACTGAACAGGGGTACTGCTAACAACCCTACAGTGCCCAGGACAGCCCCCCACATGAAAGAATTATCTGGGCCAAAATGTCAACAGTGCAGAGGTTGAAAACCCTACACTAGTAGTTTGGCAGTAGTACGAGATATAAGTAGATATATTAACATTTTTTTAAATTGTGGAATGAGTGGGACTCAATGATGAGTCAATATGGAGTGCTAAGAGAAAGGGAGGCATTAGGTACAACTCCCAGATTTCAGGATTGAAAAATTTGAGATGACATTTATTAAGATGAGGAAAGCTGTGGATGAACCAGATTCAACAGGGAAGAAATAACTAACTCATCTTTGAATGTGTCAAGTTTTGAAGTTCCTGGGAAATAACCAAGAGATGTTAAATTAAAAATGGACTTTCTGGGTCTACAGCTCAAACATAATCATAATAGTAATTGAATTTACTGAGCAGTTATAATATACAAGGTATCATTCTAAGATTGTTTTGTACATATTTTATTAATCCTATTGACAGTAAAGATCAAGATTCATTCTTCAAATCTTCTTCATGTGTACTTAAGTTTCCAAATTATGAGCAAAGGCTAGCAATCCCGTCCAAAAATTTTCCTTCACCATAGGAAACACGTTGCTGAAAGAGAACAGGAAATATTATGCCTTCCCCGATCAAACAGAATGTGTCAATAAGATAAAGCATCCTAACCAACATGCATCAAAGATATTCATAATTATATTTATCATTTTTCAAAAAGCTTTCATTATCTTTATTTTAGGAAATATCCTGAAAGTATTCATCTTCTTTATTGTCTCTGGTTTGGATAAAATACAAAATTTTACCCCTAAGAGGACACTGTTCAGGAAATACAAGCATCATCTCTAGAAACAGTTAAGCACTCCAAGAGCGCCTCTGCCATTTAATATTCTTTCAAAGCCATCTGGCCTTCCATTCTCCTGGCCAAATGATACAATGTCTTCAAAACATATTTCCAACATGAGCCAATGCAGCTAACTGAAGTCAGGAAGCCTGAAGGAATCGAACCGCCCCGTTCTAAGTTACATGATACGTAAGTCATTCTGTGATACTCCTGATGGATGTCTGGGAGCAGTTTTGCTTATTTAGTCTGAGAGAAAGAATCTTAAATAGCAAGACTATGAAAGCTCATATTGTTACAATGAGCCCTACTGCAGTTGCAAGGCTCAGCAAGACCTCAGTAAAAATGGGACTCCAGTTAGGAATTTGTTAACAGGGCCAGTTCCTGGTAGGGTATATATTTGTAACTTGGCTCACGCCTAACATTTCAGGTCAGCTCGTGCTAAAGGAGAAAATGAAATACTTTGTTCAACTGAGAAGGAGCTACTCAGCTCAGACCCTAGGAGTACAAGCGATTCAGGCTCCCCTCATGTCTCGGGACAGCCTTTCAGAGGTTTTTCTCCAGTTTCTTCTCTCTCCACTCCACCAAGAACCTGATAGAATTGTATCAGTTGAGAAACAGTGCTGATAAGCCTGAATCCTTCCTCTCATTGCTGACGGTACTCATCCATCTACAGGGACAAATAAGATTTCATATTGCACACTGAAATCTATTTTATGTTTTGTTGGGGTCTAGGTCCCCAGGTGCCATCACAAAAAATTGAGAATTTCTAAATTCTCCTACTGTGCTTGGCTACACCATATTGAAAATCCCTTAGTGTCAACAGCATTTCCTGTGCCTCATTACACAACTTCCTTAGCTGTTCTAAAAGTGGCTTAGGGAATTTTTTTTTCTCCCCAAGGGAAGGAGGAAGGTCAGGAAGCTGAGTAGCAAGGCTAAAAACACAGTTCTGGGAGTACTGTCCCCAGTTTCAGTCCCCAGTTTTACGCACGTGTGCTGACCAATTTCATAGCACCTAGATTTTCTCTCCCAATGTCTTGTGTCAACATGGCAAGGGAAGCCCGATCAAAGAAACAATTCTTCTTTATCTCAATAGTTCCAAAAATGATATTTTACATAAAGACTATCTATGATGTTGTACAATTATTTTTAATTAAAATTTCAATATGCTTTTCTAATTTGCAGCATGTTCTTTACTTTTCCACTCATCTTTCTAGAACAGAATATTCTTTTGGGGGGATGGAGGCATCATGATATTTGCAATTCCACAAAAATATATAACTGATACATTCTTAATAAACAATATACAAGTCTACCATTGAGGAATATAAAATACTAATCCACTAAAAAAGGTTAAATTCTACTAATTTTAAGACCTACATTCATTCCCTCTCTTCTAACTCCTACCCCAATTTTTAAATTGTGTCAACTCTTAGTTTTGTCTCTGGTAGTTGCAATTTAATATCACTTGCTACCTCTGGGACACCTGTATCCTGTTTTATGGTTGGAAACTAAGTCTGACATATACAGACAGAGAAGGAGAACTACCTTGACTGAACTCACAGTCCTCACCAGGCACTACTCCAGGTGTAAACACCTGGTGGTTAGCTTGTTTAACTATTAATGTATAATGAACTCAAATGTATTTTAACACTGGTGGCAGATAATTTTCTTTAATCATGAAAGTAATACATGCTAATTAAATAAATGTAGGCAAAAATGAAAGTAAGTGGGGGAGGGGAACAGTCATAATCCCATTCCCCAAAAGTAATCACTGATCACTGTTCAGTGCATTTCCTAACGGTTATTTTTGAATGGTTAGACTTAAAAAAAAAACCTAATTGTAATGATGTTACATGTATAATTATAATATACATACTCTACATATAATTGCAGTAATAATATACATACAATGATTTAAAATGATTTTTTCAGTTAGCACTGAAAATGCTTTTTGATATGGTGTGGTTACATACTTTTTAAACAGCTGCATTTTATTCTGTCTACGGCTGTATCATATTTATCTTAATTATTCTGAGGTTGAGCATGGACATTTTAAGCAACTTACAAAGGTTGGGAAAAAACCTTACACTGTCATTTTAAGTTAAAAAGAAGAAATCCACGTTAGGCCATGCAAAGAAATCAAAACCTTTTAAAAATATATTAATATTCTTTCATTTAAAAATTATCCTATAGGCCATGCATGATTCAGAACTCTATTAACTATATCAAAATGCATTCCAATTAATGTGACTGAAATACATTCGCATGTCCCCACCCCCAATAACTCTACTGAAACCTAAATTCCCTGAGTTTCATGTGCACTTTTATTTTTATTTTTTTTAACCAACTGAGCCATTCAGCCGGCCCCCCTTTATTTGGTTTTAAATGTATTTAGCAATACACATGTGAATAAGGAAGGTGTTCAAGTCCAAGGGGAAGATTACAAAAGATACATGAAAACATTCCCATCTAAAGCATGAGGGTACTTACGTCCTTTCTTAAAGAACAAGTACATCCTGGGCCGGCGGAGTGGCACATTGGTTAAGAGTTGGCTTGGGACGCCAGAGGGCCCCTGTTCGGATCCCATATATGAGGGCCAGTGACGCTGCCCTCTACAGCTAAGATGCTGAACAACAGCTCAACGTGGAGCTGGGCTGCCGTGAATCGCTGGTGACGGCTAGGCTGCAGCCCCTGCTGCAGTGGGTTGCCATGGGCTACCGTGTATAGTTGGCAGCCAGCGTGAGTGGCCAGAAGCTGCCGTGAGTGGCCGTCCAGGAGCCGGCGACTGATCTGCCTCGTCCGGGAAGAGCGCAATGATGGTGCCAACTTGGGCCAGTGAAGCAACATTCTCCACAACTAGACTGAAGAACAAAAGGACAGCAACTTGTCTGTTCCCCTTCCCCCAATTCCTCAATAAAAATCTTTAAAAAAAACCGAACAAGTACATCCTGTACAAATGGGAGGGTTGTGACAAAAAATGTTAAAGTTCAAGAACCTGTCACAGTAATGAGGTATAATATTGGACAAGGGATGTCTTGCAAGCTTCTCTCTTGTCCAATATGCACTGAAGTCTCATTCGTTTTTCAGGCAGGCCTTTAGTGCTCACTGTCTGTTGGATGTTCTTTGCGGTCTCCTTCTCCTCAGATTTCACAGTTTCTGGTACAGGTTCTGCCTCTTTCTTTGTCTGATCCACTGGAACAGGCTTTTCTCCAGATTTCTGCTGCACAAATCTGGGTGGAAATTTTTGTCTGAGGTCTAAGAGTAAAGCATCCACACACTGCCTCTGGAAAATAGAGCTTGGTTCTTCTTTCCTTTTGGTTTTAGGTTTGACTTTATCTTGCTCTTCATGATCTTTGAAGTGCCACCAATACCCTTTGGAAGGATGTTATCGACAGTATGGCATTGTTTCATCAAAAGCTGACTGAATGCCATGTACTGCAGTAAGCACTCTAGAGTTTATAACTGATCCCAAGTCTGGTGCCTGATAGATCACTCCAGCAATAATATAGTAATCATCCAGTGGAATAACTTGGGTAGGGGACTGTCTTTGTTTCCGAATGATAAAAAGAATGGGCTCTTGAGCATGTAAAAGGGTGTATTTCACTCCAACCATCTGATTTAAGTGTTCTAATGTTAGCCTCTGCATTTTGACCACTTCATTATTACATGTCCTGTCCTAAAAAGGATTACTTCTTTCTGAAAGGTAATCCAGGACACTTCCACTGTTCAAAATGGGGATCCAGGAACTGTCAACCCAAGAGATTCCCAGCAGATTATCTTGGATATCTACCACCGCCATAATTCCAAAAGCGTTCGCGGATTCTCATATGCACTTTTAAAAAATAGCTAAAAATGTACAGCAAGGAAATAAGGAAAGCAAGCCACCGTTTCTCTCTTCAGACAAGGAGTTACCATGTCCCACTGGCAATATCCTTTGGCAGACATGGTCATTTGGCTTAGTGATTAGTTTCCTAGGGCTGCCATAACAAAATAGTACAGACTGGGTGGCTTAAACACCAGAAATGTATTGTCTCACAGTTCTGGAGGCAAGAGGTCCAAGATCAAGGTGTTGTCAAGGTTGATTTCTCCTGATACCTCTCTCCCCGACTCGCTGATCGATGCCTTCTTGCTGTGGCTTCATGTGGTCTTTCCTCTGTGCCCCCATGTCTCAGTCCCAATTTCCCTTCTTATAAGGACATCGGTCATATTGGATTTGGGCCTACACACAGGACCTCGTTTTATCCTAATCACCTCGTCACATTCTGAGGTAATAGGGGTTAGGACTTCAACATGTGAATTTTGGGGGACACAATTCAGCCCATAACAGTAAGATTAGCAATGACAAAATCTCTCCTTTTTTTTTTCCTGCTATGAGGTCTGATTAACAAAGCATCTTCCTTTTTAAAAAATAAAAAGGAAAGTAAGAGAAACAGGTGTAGGTCTTCTCTAACACTCCCCAACCCTACGACACCACCCAAAAATTTTTTTTTAACTTTTTTAATTTGAAGTCTCAGAACACATAACTGTCTGCATTGGGCATGTTTTCAAATCTTGGGCAAGATCTCAGAATAGCAAGGGGCACAACTTTTGCACTAAATTCCTTTAAGAAATAACCACAGACGTGCTGCAATTTCAAAAGAAAAAGAAACAAAAAGAAAATGCTAATAAAATACTGCTGCTGACATACCCTTGAGGCTATACTTTGAAAAGAGGCCTCCTGGTACTTGATGCCACAGAACCACTTGGTCTTCAACGA